TGTAGCATGTAGTCAAGATGCTTCTAATTTCATGCCCTGCTGATCAGCGCCATGAATCAAGTGCAGGGAGAAGTTGTTTGTTGCAGAGGGGTGTTTGTCCCAGAGCTGGCCTTCACCGCAGGATTTAGAATCACGTGACCAGATCCTCAAGCACTGAACAAGTCGTGAAATTTGATATTTTAAAATTAATATATCATCCCATTTCCCGTAATAGGTAATCTAGAAATATTGTTTTCCATTAAAAAGACAAAAGTGACGGAGAGAGATGTGAAAACGATTAGAGGAATTTACACCTAACGTATTTTCACATTCTATAATCCAATCTTTGTTTTAGGTTTTTATTATAAGGATGGGGCGGCACGGTGGTGCAGTTGGTAGAGCTGCTGCCTCTCAGCGAGCAGGTCACTCTGGTTCAACTCCCGGTCCAGGGGCCGCTCTGGGTGGAGTTTGCATGTTCTCTCCGTGCATGCGTGGAGTTTCTCCGGGTACTCCGGTTTCCACCCAGAGATCAAAAACATGCATGTTAGACTGATTGGTGACTAAATTATCCTTAGGTGAGAGTGAGAGAGTGAATGGTTGTTTGTCTCATTAGTCTCTGTGTCCCTGTGATGGACTGGAGACCAGTCCAGGGTGTCCCCCACCTCTCGCATAGCGATGGCTGAATATGGGCACCAGTGACCCCCGCGACCCTAAATGGAAGAAGCAAGTAAAGGTAATGGATGGATGGATTATAAGGATGATCACTGGACACATAGGGCATCCAACTGGGAGGAGACCCTGGACACGTTGGAGACACGCAATTTTGATGCATGCTCAATAATCCAGATAGAAAAATCTAAAAATCTTAAATCAGGTCCTCTGGATGGATAAAAAAAAACAACTTAATTTATTTGGATTCCACAGAGGGCTGACTGGAAACACATCAAGCAGGTGCTATTTGTGAAACAGATCTGGGTTGGCAGGCCTCAGACTGATGAAGTCTTCTGGATGGAAGATGAAACGTTTCTCCCTTAAAGAAACTTGTCCAGATGTCACGATTTAACCTTTTTTGTGATTTATCTACCTGGACCATTGAGATGAAAGATGAAACGTTTCAACAAGTTTTGTATGTTTTTGAATCCGTCCAGAGGACCTGACTTAACTTCGTTAGAGTTTTAGTGATTGATAAATGTGACCAGTTTCTTCAGCAGACAACTGAAACTGCTTACACACACTTAAAATTCAGTAACAATTAGTATTTTAATATACACTTCCGACTGTTAGTTTTTTCTACCTGGATGATTGAATCGTGTTCTAGAATTGCTCCGCTCTGGGTGGCTGCATGTTGGAGCAGCGCTGTTACTTTCATTCTGAGATTTTGCTTTCGGAAACTTTAATTCCTGTTTTTCTGGATGTAAATCAGCTTTTTTGGACGATTGTTTCCTCAGGTGTCAGACGCTGTGCAGCTGGAAAGATTTTTATTGAAACTTTTTGTACTTTTGGACATTTGTTATGATGCATAACCATAACAGCAAGGTGTTTTTTTTTATTTTTATAATATCTCAACTACAGCCCCAGATCTCAAATGAGTTGAAAAGGAGGCGCCGTGGATGCATTCCCATCTACCTATGCTCAAGTGCCTGACCACTGAGATCCTGCAACTATCAGAAAACACGGCTCATGACAGCAGAAGGACGGGATCATCCCCTGGCACCTGCAGCCGGCTGTCAGCAGCGATGAGGAGCTCATCAGACTGCTGGAAGGAGTGGCTATCACTCTGGGAGGAGTTCAGCCCGGCGTTCAAGGGGACTGCAGTCCAGGGGAACCGAGAGGCCAACCGAGTATGGGTGGACGGATCTGACGGCATCTGCGGCCAGTTTGTTCGCATCCGCTGTGGGACGGACCTTTACAAGAAATCCTTCCTGCCTACATCAGCATCTATAACATCTCTTAACGAAACGACGATAACGAGTTACAACAACATTTAATTTCCCTTTGGGATTAATAAAGTATTTTTGAATTGAATTGAATATTGAGCATAAATCTGGACGATACACTTCAGGTTTGTTTTGCATTGGAAGGAAGGAATGCATGGCGTTGTAATACAATGACTCCGGGCTTACAACAGTCCATAAGAACATTTCCCTTTTGTCTTGTGAAAAAGAAACATATAAATCAAAGGTTAATTAGTTTAGAAAGTGTTGCAGCAGCATTTGCACCTGTAAGCCTGTATAACCGTGTTGAGGGTCCACAGCAGACTTGCCGGTACTGATGCACATCTCTGTGTGTAGGCTCCCAGTCCCCCCCCCCCACGACCTCATTTTCTTTGGGTCTTCAAACACCTTTGCCCCTTTCAGACAAAATCCATAATTTCTATTTGATGGTGCAGTCAGGCTGAGCTTTCTGGAGGACACTGCCTGAAATTGATGTGTCTCATTTCCGGTCCACTGAGGACACCAATTACCCTTTGGATACTCTTTGAGGATGCTGGATTCTCTCTGTTGTGACTGAGTCGCGCCTCTCTGCTCTTTTTTGTCTAAATGCTACTTTCTTGGACTGCGATTGTGTTTTATCCTTTACTCCCACCACCTGGACAAGTTCACACCCCCAACTTTTGCACTGAATGTCTTATCAGTAAGCATTTTGTTTCTTTTTTTGTTTCTTTTTAAAGTAAGATTTTTGCCACTATTGCTGATCTGAACCTTTTTGCACTCACTATTATTATTATTATTATTATTGCAATAAATGCAACTTCACCAATCGGATGCTTCCTTCTGCATGTGTCACCAAAACGAGCAATCTCCGAACGAGTTACCGCCACCCCCCGTAGCTAATGCTAGGCTAAGGCTTTAAAACTGTAGCTTTTTGCTGAGAGTATGAAACTAAACTTAATAATAGTTATTCCGAATTAAACAGCATAAAAAGTAAGACACATGTTTAGTCAAACGTTTCTTTTGTTGTTAGAATACTTCTTAGAAATAAATCTTACTTACTCTTAAATGTTGCATTTGTTGAGAAAATTGGTGAGTTGAGCCTATGAGAACAAAATAAATCTCTGCAAATGTTCAAATGTTCCCAGGACCAAACTGTATCTTCCAAGAAGACAACGCCGACCCCCACAGAGCAAGGTTTATCAGAAACTGGGAGAGGATTGGCCAGTCCTGACCTCAAACCTATTAAACAGCTGGACCAGCTCCAAGGTGCTGTTCATTCCAGCGTGACCAACACAGACTGGCTACTTGGGACAAATGCAGGTTGAAGAATGCCGACCCACAGCAGGGTGTGACCATGTGAGCTGTTGTGGCTGTGTATGGTTCTTCCACATGCAGCTAGCTAGTTTTGTACGCTTCAACCATAGTGCATAGCCAGAGTGTTTTATAACTATTTGTTTCAGTTACTTACACTGATTGAAACGACAAAAACTGAATTTCAGTCTTCTGTTGTTAGCGAGATCTGAAGCTTTAATGATAATGAAGCATCGGAGAAGTGAAAAGTTGGACCCTGCTAGGATTACCAAACCCTCGATGGCTGACAATCTTCCCCAGCAGATAATGAAGATGAGTGGCTTCACATTTACACAGTAACAAAATATATAAAGCCTCTGAATCGAGTACAGTTTTGTGCCATTTGAACTCGTACCTTGTTCGCATTATAAAGAGGATTGTGGAGCCACTGCTCACGATGTTTTCGTGGTCGTCTCTTAAAGCAGGAAAAGTGTCATCCTGTGTTTTTACGCTGTTGCTACTGGGGAACAGATCACTCGTAGGCCTCCTCTTCTAGATCGAAACCATGAAGATAAAGGATGGATAAAAGAAAAATAAAATGGAAAAATAAATAAGCAGCTTTTTAATTTAATGTAGGACTGTCACAATTATTAAAAAAGTCAAAGCAGTGACTCAATTTCATATCCAATGCTGCCCTCTAGTGGTAGAAGTTTGAAAGTACACAAATCATCTGAACGAAATACATCATCTTTACTCGCTTCTTCCTTTATGGTTCATGGGGGTCACTGGTGCCCATGTCCAGCAATCACTGTGCGAGAGGCGGGGACACCCTGGACAGGTCTCCAGTCCATCACAGGGACACATAAAGACAAACGAGACAAACAACCATTCACTCTCTCACACCTAGAGACAATTTAGTTACCAATCAGCCGAACATGTTCCTCCGATACCAAACTCCAATAATGACCAACTATAGATTTTAAAAATACATAAAACACACATATATATATATGCATATATTTATACATATACATAGTCGTCTATATATATATATATATATATATAAATATATATATATAAAGTATTGTGAACACTATTTATGGTTGTATCAACTGTTTGTGTTCATTAAATGTTGTTCAAAGCCACAGAAAGATTTGAGCCGACATTCATGTCCTCTGAGGTGACAAACAGCAGAAAACAACCAGACATATTGGAGAATACAAACAAATACAAAGGACAGAGTACTTAGAATATTTATGGCCTGATTACCATAGTAGTAATACAACGTTCAGTTTATGTCAGGACCAATTAAAACAGGCAAAATCCATACCTACCTTTTTTTTGGGGGGGGGGGGGGCTCTTACTGTATTTAAATGAGCCATTCACATTTTTCAGTAGGTGTTTCTGAAACCCAGTCACCTCAGATCTGTTCATAAAGACATAAAACATCATTTCCCAGAATCCTTTGCAGCACCATCTCAGGAAATCTCATTTGCTGAGTTTGTTGTTCGATTGGGCAGGACGTTGTCGAGGCCGTCCTGCAATAAACACGTGCACTTAAAGTAAAATCAAGGAAGAAATAACCCAGACTTTTATAAAAATTATTTTATTTCATTACTTGACAAGTACTCAGCACTACAAAAAAAACCTTCTTACAAAGTAGTTTGACTGATACAGCTTGTTAAAACATATATATATAGTGTATATATATATATAAAGCACACTAATAATCCTGAAAGTGAGCAGAATAAAATGAAATTGTAAAAATATTAATTTTCTTTTAGTTCTGCAGCCAATTCACATTTTTAAATAGTGAGTGTGACAAACAGCGCGGGTGGGAATACGAGGAGCCCCTCGCTGCTCGTCAGTCCCGTCAGTCGTCCACGATGCTCAGCAGAGCTCGTAGCTTCAGGCTGCAGGCCAGCTCTTCTTCTCGACTCGCAGAAATCCGTCGCTGCAGATCCTTCAGTCTCCACAGCAGAGGTTCAGGAGGGGCCTTCGACCAGGCTGCTCCGTCCCAACGCTCATCCCACCTCTGAGGGATAAATAAACATGTTAGCTTCCGAGCTGATAATGGCTGCCACAGCTTACTGTATCTACCTTTGGCAACACAAAACCAGCTCTAAATTACTCTAAATGACAGATAATGAGGTACGGTTCAAGTGGTAGTAGCCGAGAGTCATCCTCAGCATGTACTTTGAGCATTAACACATCGTGAGTGGACACCTGAGTCAAAGCTGCCTCTGGAGGCCTGTCTTTGGGCGCCCGCTGTATGATCGTCTGCGTGGACAGCAGGGTGGAGGACGGGACGAAGAGCGGCGTGGACAACTTGTCCAACGGGTCCTCGTCCAGCCAGCGCTGAAGCTGCTCCGTGCTCCTGCAAACAGGACGAGATGACGAATATTTCTGTCCATTAGACAGAAAAGGACGAGCTGACGGAAGCTCAGCTCAAAAAAACTGGACTCTGTTTTTAATTCAGACATCAGAAAATAATCCAGAGAAGATCAAGAATCTCTTGTTCGTCTGCGACAGGAGTTGCTTTTAAAAATATTGAACATCTTTTTAAAGATGCTTGTAATTTTGTTGAAATATTAGCGCCATAATTATCACAAGATTCAGCTCTGTACAGAAAGCGCCGTTATCTACTGCAGGTAAGATACTTCCTCTCAACACCGTCTGTGAAACAAATTCATGAGGAGATTAATTTAAGGTTTTTACTTTCAGATACTGTTCTGCTGGAGATAACTTTAAATTCTTCACTTATCCAACTTTTAGTTGCTCCAAAACGCAAGTGAAGGAAAAGAAACCTAAAATAAATCCAAGTTTATTTCTAAAGCTCTTATTTATACATAAATAAACAAACAAATAAATAAACCTTGCACTGTGCCAAAGTTAAAATATAAAAGTGTTGCACATTTAAAACAAAATCATGTTAAATTGATTTTTTTTTAAAAAACCTTGCACTGTAAGAAACATTTAAATTAAGATGAATAAAATAGAAGATCAAAACGTTCTGCTCAAGCTCGTTTTTAAACGTGAAGAAGAGTTCTGGAAATCTACTTGTCGGAGCTCAAGTCCTGTTTTCTGATTGTTAAACTGGATTTTCTTTGGTGTTTGTTTACAGATTCACCTAAAAATGTAAATAAAATCTGTTTATTCTTTTAGTTCCGGAGCTTTCTTAAGTGTGACTCTTTATTTGCACACGAGACTGAAACTGAGCCGAAGTCCTAATCTACAGAAGGTCTGACTGATGTGAAGGAAAAATGTAAGGAACTGAGGTCTGGATGAAGATTTTTGCACAGTTCTGTAGCGTTTCAGCTCTTGTGACGTGTTAAGCAACATTGTTTTTTTATTTATTATATACTTTTCACAAACTTCCAGCGTCTAGATCTACCAGCGGAGATGGAGCCGTACCTCCAGCTTTCAGCCCTCTCCTCCTCTAAGTTCTGCAGGACCCGGTGGGCCAGCAGCTCCTCGGCTGTGGGGGTGTGAGTGATGTCCTGCGGGGGCGACGACACGTCGGCGGGCTTCACCACGCTGTGGAACAACCTCTGCCTGAGAGGGAGGCTGGGAGATGGAGAACAGGCACCTTCAGCTGCCCTGAGGGAGGAGACAGGAGGGACGTGAGGAAAAACCTCCATACAGATGTTACTGACCTGATCCAGGTTCTACGATTCTGTAATAGCAACCGCTGAACCACTGTGCCACTATTTACTAAATAGATGAAGCTTCAGTCCAGAGATCTCAATGCTTCCACAGTGATAAAGAGCAGACAGGTGTGCCAGGGTGGAAAGACATCAGCAATGACCTCAGAGCAGTGGATGCCCATCGATCTGAGAAAGGTCAAGGGTCATTTTCTGTCAGGAGCTCATGGATTTTTCACAAGTGGAACACATTTTAGACAGCTGCCAATCAATCCAGGAGTTGCAGCAGATGCACCCTGAAGGTCAGACCGTGTAATGCTCAGAGGAAAGAGTTGTCTCATCACTTTTAGCACATCTAGAATGTAAATCTGTATCTTTCTCATCTCACTCTTTAATCTTTGTGGTCTAAAACAAAGTGGAACAAAGACTTTGTCTTTTTAGCGTCGCCTTAAGGAGCACTGCTGGTTCTGGAGACGCCTGCTAATGAAGTCAAAACCAGTGAACAGAACCATCAGTCCACAATGGGCTTGTAATGGTAACAATATTAAAGTTCAGGGAAGGAGAACTCCGGTTGTGGAAATATTCAACAGATCGTTTTAAGGTAAATCTTAAAATCCCTACCCGTTCATCTCCTGCTGCTTCTCTCTGTGCGTTTGCTCGACGGCCCGAGTCCACGGGTCAGGCGGTCGGAAACCGTCCAGCGACCCTGCGGGGAAGTAAACCAGGATCTCTCCATCATCCGTGACAGCATCTTAAAAAAGGACAAACAAACAGTTGATAACAAAACAAACCGTGATAAATACAGGTGAGGGCAGGATCCAGGTGTTCTCTGTAATAAATGGTGCAGACCTGAACAGACGGGCGGACCCGGCAGCTGCCAGTCTTTCAGTTTGTGGTCGATGAAGATCACGACCACGTCGTCCCACGGAACCTGCATGAAGTTCGGACTCTGCCGTTTATCCGTGTTTCTGAATGTTACTTTGGATCCAGGGGTTTTGTTAGCCTTCAGTCGAGCTCTTTCCAGAAGATTCTCCAGCCGCGACATGAGGAGAGGCTGACTGCGGCGAGACGCTGGGATCTTAGCGGCGTAACGAAAGATGGAGCAGCACAGATCTGACCACGAGCCTGAGCAGAGAGAACGATAACCAGAGTGCGCTGAGTGATGAATGACTTGGCTAAAGAAGATAAAAACTACATTATTAAAACAACCAAATGATCAGAACACAAGCTAAAAGCAGCAGAACAGGAGATAGAAGCTAAATCTAGCAGAAGAGTAGCAAAAAGTAGTGCAAGTGCTAAGGCTAAAATTAGCAAAAACAGATGTTAAAATTAACTAAAATGTATGTAAAAAAGTAATAAAAAAATATAAATTGACTAAACTGAAGTTAAAAGAAAAAGAACGGCAGCTAAAATCTAAAATAGCTAAAATTGTAGCTAGCAAAATGTTAGCTGAAAGCTAAAAGTAGCTTTAGAGGATGAAAACATACAGAAGCAGATTTTAAAATGTTAACCAAAATTAAGAGATCTCAACGTATTTCCTGGGATAATTTTATTGAAAATAAAGTTAAATATTTAAAAATTATAAAAGTGACAAAAACCAGAAGTCATAGCACCCATCTCCTAAATGAGCAGTCACAGAATAAAACATGTCGTTCCTCGTTTTAAGCGAACGGTAACCATAATTAAATCTTTTCACTGACCTGCTGCAGGAAGCCCCTCCCACTCCGGCAGCCGCAGGCTGAGGATGGCTTCACGCAGCCAGGACAGATGCTCCGAACAGTTCCAGCCTCGATGAGGCACAAAGTCTCTGGTTTCAGGCAGAATGAACTCAGCGGGGGGCCACGAGAGTCCACACAGATCCTGGGAGGCCACCTTATCAGCGACGTGACCCAGGACGGCGTTGTAGAGCTGGACGACCGGCCGCAGGTCCTGGGATGGAAGGCGTGCAGCCGCCCGGTCCTGGCGGTTGGCGCAAACTCTGGGGCTGAACTCACGACTCAAACAGGCCTCGACGAGCTGCACTAGGGTTTGACACGAGAGAGGGAAGGGCGGCGGCGCACGGGGCAGCAGCCAACGGATCGCCTGGGTCAGCTGGAGACAACAGCAGACAGAACATATATTTGCTGAATTAGCACAAAAATCTGGAAATTAGTTTAAAAAAAGGCTGAAATTAGCAAAAAATAACTGAAAAGTAGCTGAAAATGCAAAAAAACAAACTACCAGAAGGAAGCAAAAGAACTGAAATGAGCTAAAAAAAAAAGGAGCGGAATTAGCTGAGAAAGCTAACATTAGCATCAAAAGCGCTAAATGGTACCTGAAAGAGCAGAAAAAGCTGAAACAGAAAAAAAAAAGTTGAAACAAGCCGAAATTAGAAGTAAATTAGGCTGAAAGAACCAAAAATTAACACGAAATGCTTGAATTTATCTGAAAACAGCTGAAATTAGCTAAAAATGCTAAAAAGCTAGCTGAAAAGGTAGAACAAGCTGAAGAAAGCAGAGCAAACGTTTTCCCAATTATGCTGAAAGAAGCAAAAATGAGCACAAAATAATGGAAATGGAAACAGCTGGAAGTAGCTGAAAAATGTTTAGATTTGCACAAGGAAGCTGAAAGAAGCTGAAGCAGAACAAAATGTGAAAGGAGCAGTAAAAGGTTGTAAACACATCTAAAGATTTGAAGGATGTAAAATGAGCTCAACTCATTTCTATGAGGAAAAAATGGCAGAAAAGGCGAAATATTTCAAAAAGCTAAAGTCGAAGTTTCTTTATTTGTCATTCGCAACACATGTGGTATACGTGGTGGAACGAAATTGTGTACACAGGGTCCCAGTTACTAAAGCTGCACTAATACCAAAAGTCATAGCACCCTTCTCCTGAACGAGCTGAACATTTGATATACGATTTGTTGAAACAGCACAAAAAATGTGGAACGAGAAAGACGCCGAAAAATGTCTCACGGTAGTGGGAATGCTTCATAAACAATCCTACAACAACAAGACGTTTCAGAAGAAGCTGACCAGATGATGAAACATCCAGGAAGTAGATCACACTGCAGCTGAAAACATGTAACTACGATAAGTTGGTACCTGTTTGGATCCCTGAAGGTCGCTCGTGGTTCCTGGTATGAAGAAGAACTTGTACTCTGAGATGAGCTCCTCCTTCATCAGCGTGTGCAGCATCAGGGCTGAAGGAACCATGAGGACAAACTTCATTAACATCTCAAGTTCAATAAAACCTCCACTTCTTTCAACTAACCCCCCCCCAATGTTTATAAATACCTTCTTCCAGTTTCTGTGTATCCGCAGCGTCCCAGTGATCCAGGACCAGAACCACCAGGGGCAGTGGACAGTGCCAGCTGTTGACCTGCTGCAGCTGTTTGAGCTGAAGCAAAGCTGACAGCAGAGGGACGTCCTGGTCCTCCTGACCGGACCCGAAGACGGGCAGAGCGGGGAGCAGCAGGATGAGGGCTCCTGCGCCCTGGAGCTCTGAGAACTCCTCCACTTTGGACAGGCCGTGTTCGGTTAGCGGGCCTCGGGTCGCCTGGAAGACGTGAAGGGAAAACGTTCAAAGATGGGGCTTTACACAGAACAAACAGGTTTACCACACTAGCAACAAAGACTTGCACATGTCAGTCGTTAAATGAAAATAATGTGAAACACCGTGAAATAATCATCAATGGACTCATTAAAATAATTAAAATATAAAAATAAATTGTACTGCTTGAACCTGGCTGCCTTATCTGGTTTAAAACTGAAGCCAAAATGTTGCTTTTCCTCAGGGGTGGGGAGGCTGCTCCCTCCATTTTATTTATTTATTTTTTTTACACAGGAAATTGTGTTTTCACGGAGAGGCGGAGCTTAAAGTAGTACGTCAGCCAGCCACAAGAGGGCGCACTTCCTGTGGCTTCAACTGTCTCACGTTGTCTGAATGTTGTCACACCGATCCTCTCCTGGTTTTTTTTTATTCTTTTCTATATTTTTATACAAACTAATTTCACATTTGCTGTAGCATTTTAGTCTTGCATGTATCAAAACATGCATGTTAGGTTGATTGGTGACTATAAATCGTCTCTAGGTGTGAGTGAGAGAGTGAATGATTGTCTTGTTTGTCTCTGTGTCCCTGTGATGGACTGGAGACATGTCCAGGATGTCCCCTGCCTCTCACATGGCAACTGCTGGATATGGGCACCAGCGACCCCCGCAACCCGGAAATGACGAAGCGGACAAAGAGTCTTTCAACGTTCACACTGCAATTATTCATAAAATGCAACTTCTCTTGATTCAGTATAAAACACGGTGATGGAATGACCTGAACATGACTCGGGCCACTCAGACTCACCTTGACCGTGACGTGGACTTTATAAGCTCCCTGTCTGCTCTCCTGCAGGGCGTTCATGACACAGAGAGTTTTCATGGTGCCATCGGGCTGCTCCGCTGAGCCTCGCTCAGCACCAAGCTTCACCTCCAACCAGTCCGACAGCAGCCTGCAGATTCAAACAGAAAACAAACAGCTGCATCAGACAACTTACTTAGAAAAAAATAGTAATAATCATTTCTAGACTAAAGAACAATCTGGATTATTAAAGATGTCACTGCATAAAACTGAAGCGCTCCCTATGAGTGCACATTGACAGCCACAATTTTATAGCAGCGAAGATTCCACGAGATGTGATTGAAAAGATCCAGCAGCCATCTTGAATTGGGTTGACTCCAAAATTTAATAAGTTGTAGTCGTACATCTAATGATGAATACCATTAAGATGTGTATATTGCTTCATCAAATATTTTTCTAACAAACAAGCAAGCGTCTCATCATTAGATGAGTGGTAGTAAAGGAGGCGGGCGACATGCATTCTATCAAGAAAGGCTTGGCCATTAATTACTGTATTTTTCATCCTACAAGTGGCGTTTTTTTGCATAATTTGCACGCCCTGCGACTTATACGCCAAAGTGACATATTTATGAATTTTTTCTCCATATTTATAAACCAATTTTTGGCTGAGATATGTCCGCTTTCATTCATTCTGACTGAAATATTGAACACTACCATTTTCAGCGACTAGATGGCACTCGAGTAGTATGGCATGCCGTTGTATCATGTAATGTAATAGTAAAGTGGTTAATGACACAATCGGCTTGCCACAGCCTGCCATCTTCGTCCAGCTCGCCTGGAGCAACTGTCAAAACCATCAAATCAGCTTCATTTCGCTGCGCCACCCCAGTAAAATGCAGCTGATTTGACCGTTAAAGTGCATTTATTAAGTAAAAGTTCAACTGAAACACACCTTTACTATAATGTCAAGCAAACAAATAATTGTTTTAGGTTATCTTGTTAAATTTCTAAGAAATGCACAGCGTTCCTCCTTCCTGATTTCCTCCCTCTGCGCACTCCTGGAGCGCCGAGGCAGCGAATACTTTTGAAATGCAGCTGATTTGACCGTTAAAGTCCATTTATTAAATAAAAGTTAGACTGAGACACACATTTACTATAATTTTGAGAAAACAAATAATTGTTTTTAAGTGTTAATCTTGTTAAATTCTTATTAAAGTCCTCCTGTGCACGCCCCAGAGGCCGCCATTTGGCAGCCAATCGATTTTTGGCACAACACCAGCCCACATTTCCGGGTTGTCAGTGATGACGCGTAACAAACGCAACGCGTCAGCGATGACGCATAATAGATGTGACGTATACAGTGAAGCGACATATTTATGGATTTTTCCCCTTTATTAGACATATTTGGACTGATGCGAGTTATAGGGCGAAGCAACATTTACGGCGGAAAATAAGGTATACCTAAAAATATTATTTAAGACTTCTGATTGTTGCTCACCTGTCAGCCACACTGGCTACACTTTCATCATCGCTGGGTAAGAGGAGAAGGGTTTTCCAGAAGATGCGATCAGGTGGGTTTGGGGTGCTCTCCATCACCAGCGCAGGCAGATCAAGCGGCGCCCACGCCGTCTCCCTGAAGGAAGCATCATAAACGTCAAACTGCTGTTTGCTGACGTGAACCACCAACTGAACCTGACGTGGACTTACTCCAGCAGCTGATGGAAGAAGTAGTGGACTCTCATCTGGTGGATTGCTTCTTCTCTCATCCTCAGCAACCTGAACAAAGTCAGAAAATGTGTTTCAACGCAGCTAAAAGAAGCAGCGGTAGAAGAGGCAATGAGCTCACCTGGTGCTGGACACAGCTAAAACGCCAGCATTTCCAAGGTTGACCAAACCTCGAGTTAGATCTGCCATGGAGGGCTGAGCGGGGGCGCTGGGAGCCAAGGCCTTCAGTTTGAAACGAGGGTCGACGCAGCAAGGAGCTGCGGGGAAACCCCTCATCTGTCGCTTCAGCGTGCGGCGAACTGCCACCACGTCTCGCCACCTGGTGGTACAGGCGAAATGAAAATGTTCGAGATCAACTCCAACCGAGCTCCTAACGCAAACTTTAGTGTTTTTAGTCCGTTTCAGAACATTTTCACGGATGTCTTTTCTTTGCTTCACCTCTTGATGTACTTGTGGATACGCTCCAGCTCTGTTTCGAGGAGATCTTCGACCAGCAGAGAAATCTCTGTGCTTAAAGTCTCATCAATCAGACCGCAGCAGATCTGCTCGGAGCATGTAGCCAAACGTTTTGCTTTCTCGTTCAGCGCCTCCCTGTGATTTAAAAAAAAAAAGCTGCTCAGAACGGTCACGTGGTTGCTCGTCACCAACACTCAGAATTCATCGAGAAAACAATAAAAAAAATCAGCCAATAGACACGGTAAGATACAAGTTAAGCTGTTTTACAAAACAATGTTTCACAGTTTAATTAAATATGCTACTTTGATTTATTTTTTGTGTGTTTTATTAAAAAACAATATACTTTTTATGAAAGGTGAGACTTACTGGATCTCTGCGGTGGCGGTTTCCTGTATGGTCGTGTCCACCACTTGATGGATGAGCTCAGTGCACAGCGAGCAGCTGAACTGAGCCAGGAAGGCCTCGTGCTCCTGCCTCCGCCTTCCAAAAGCAGGCACGGGAAAAGAAACGAGGATAAACGAAATACAGTGGATTATCAGTGCTGTGGAAAATGACAAGAAAGTTCGACAAACCTCGCCTCCTCAAGCTTGCGTTTCTCTTCTGCGACTCGCTCCTGCTCCAGTTTGAACTCGGAGGACGATATCTCTTGCAACATCTGTCCCAACACTTCCCTCACCAGAGACTCCACCTGCACATCGCTCTCGCTGCAGAAGCAACATGTTAAAATCATCAACAGTGTCTGAGTGTCCACCACAGCATGATCACATTCCAGCTTCCTACTGACCACAGTTTCCTTTTATCGCGATTAAAACACTGGGTTGGGATTACTGGTGCAGTGTTAGAATGGTTCCTTTCTTATCTGAGTGACAGGAGTTTTTGTGTTAATGTTGGTAATAGTTGATCTGCTTCAGTGCCTCTTTCCTGTGGGGTCCTGCAAGGCTCTATTCTTGGACACCTTCTGTTTTCATTGCATTTGCTCCCCTCGGGATCTATCCTAAGGAAGCATGGTCTTTCGTTTCACTGCTATGCTGATGATTGTTGAATTTATCTGCCCTTAAAACCAAATAGTTCATGCACAATCCACCCTCTGTTGAAATGTCTTGATGACATTAAGGCATGGATGGCTTCACATGCTTTAAGTATCAACGATCAGAAAACTGAAGTGATTGTGTTTAGCCCTAGCTCTACTGCTGTCTCTGTTCCTGTAAACCTGGTCTCTCTTGAACCATATCTTAAACAGCCCGTTATAAATCTTGGGATGGTTTTAGACTCAGACTTTGTTTACTCCGTTCTACAAAAAAGATTATTCCAATTAAGGCAGATAGCGAAGCTTAAGTCTGTGCTGACCAGCTCTGACCTGGAAAAAAACAGTCCATGCATTTGTTACAACGCAGCTAGACTACTGTAATACGCTTTATGTTGGGGTCAGTCGGGTCTCCCTTTCACGTCTCCAGCTCATCCAAAATGCTGGAGGTCAGCTCTTAACAGGAACTTGTAGGTTTGATCATATTCCACGTTTTGTCCTCCCTTCACTGGCTCCCTGTACATGGCAGAATTTATTTTAAAATTCTTCTGTTGACCTTTAAGTGTGTTAACGGCCTTGCACCCTCATACCTCTCTGATCTACTCCAACAATATGTTCCTTCTTGGGCACTGAGATCATCTGACCAGCTGCTTTTGGTTGTACCAAAAACAAGAGTTAAGCTCAGATATCGGGCTTTTTCAATCATGGGCCCTAAACTTTGGAACAATCTTCCCCCCAACATTAGACAGGCCACGTCAATCCCCGTTTATAAATCTCTCCTAAAAACACCTGTTTACACTGACGTTTAACACAGCGGGATTTGATTTAGTATTTCATTGATTCTCATTGTTTTTGTGTTTTTATGTTTTTATTTTGATGCTTTTAATTATATCTTGTTCTAATTCTATTTCTTTAACTGCCTTATTCTTATTGTTAAGCACTTTGGTAACAGCTGCTGTTTTAAATGTGCTTTATAAATCAATCAAACTTATTTACAGAGCCCTTTCCAGCAGCCAAAAGGTGCACAAAGTGCTGCACAGTACAGAAGTTAAAAACAAACAAGAATAATAAAAAAATCAGTCAGTTAAAAACAAAAACAATTAAAACATAGCAAAATTGTCAAAGACCTACTAGGTATTAAAAGCCTGCCTGAATAAAAAGGTTTTAAATAATAAATAAAATAAATAAATTTGACTAGATTTGACTTACGTGAGAGCTGTTGCGACGTAGCTGACGCCAGCGTCGGCCACTTCTTTCACTTCTGCTTCAACCACCTCTTGGATCACGGAGTCCAGCTCAGCCGCAATGTCCTGAAAGAGCGCAAGAACGTGAGCAAGCTGCAAACAAATCGAACAGAACGGGCTCGAGAGCTCTGCCCCACCTCATCGCTGTAGGCCGGCTGAGGTTCAGGTGGAGGTGACGGGGGTTTGACAGGCTCAGGCAGGAAGAACTGGACCGCAGGGAGGTACGGTTCTCCCGTCTCATCGGTAACAGCTGGAGGCAGCTCAAGCACGGTTGGAACATCTGGAGCTTTAACTGGCACAAACTGAGCCGACAGTTCGTCGCTGGGCGGAGCTGTGAGCTTCACGCTGTCACCTGAAACGAAGAAGCCAAGAGCTCATTAAGGAAGGCAGTAATTGGGCTTCGCTCCTACAGGAACAAAAATTAAAACGTTGCGATATTATTAAGAAACAAACCTTTCAGGCCGCGGAATTTATTCTGAGAGTCGAAGCTACAGACGGGGGTGTGCTGTGGAGGGTTGGGAAGGGGGCCCCCGTTCATCACCTGTCCTATCAACACCGTTTTCTTTGCAAGGATGACCTCAGACTTCTTCTGGGACAGGGGGAGGTCCGGCTCTTGGAAGGACACCCGACTGAGCTCCACCATCCTGTGAGATTGACATCAAATTGTTCTGACTGATTTCTCATCAGGTTAGAATCAAAACCAGGTTTAGTTCAAAGACGTCCACGTTGTTGGGATCATTCGGCAAAATTAGAAGTTCTAGTCACAAAAACAGAATTTCTTTGTATTTTCCTTTACCCGTCGTTGACATTGAGCCCAAACTGCTGGGCGAAGTCCGTCGCTTCAGCGGCGTTTCGGAACATTAAAATTCGAACGATGTCCTCGACAGGAAACGGGGTGGAGCGCGGCCCCACGGTGTGAGCTACGTTCAGGGTCTTCAGCGCCATTGTTCTGACCTGAACGCACAAACACATCCATACCAACGTTACCAAACACATTTGTTCAAAATAACAGCAACAAATAAGGGCGATTAGTTCACGGTCTAACTTGTAATTCTTCTGATAGTAGATATTTGAAACATTTTATTTTTGCATTAAATAAATAATAAAATTCTCCTTTTGGAGCTCATTGAAGCCAACTCAACAGCTCTGTCCCCTAACTTTTATTTTTATTTTTTATGCAACTGGATAATTTTAATTTGCTGAAGTATTATATTCTCAAACAGGAAGTCCCTGTATTACAAAATGTTTATTCACAGACATGCACGAGAGCTAACATGTGTTTTCTGTAGAAATTATAAACATTTGAAGTAGGGATGCACAATATTGGATTTTTGGCCGATATCCGATACTAATATTTTCTCCCTAGAGAACTTACAGAGACTACAAAGCTTTCTCTGCTGTGGAATTAAAATACTATATTATTCTGCACGGTCTTTGTCAGTTTGGTCTGCTACCAAATGCAGATGTCAAAAAGGGGGCTGAATGATGTAACACTTCAACTTGGATTATGTTTAATGTCAAACTTATTCATGACATTTACTCCAACACACTCACAACACTTGAACCGTGCAAATTTGTAAATTTTCACAAATCTACACTCAACGGTGCGCATGACGTCATAACGTTGTGCTGGTGCTACAGGCATCCTTGTCACTGTGTTGTCATACAAAAACAGCAACTTTTACTGTATATATATGTGTATATATATATATATATATATATAAACAGCGCCTTTTATATTGGCGAGTTATTTTGATGGAATGGCCGATGTCCGATATTTATATATTTTTTTTTCAGGTCTCTCTTGTAAATGAGTCCTCGAGGCTCAATGGGATTTACCTGTATAAATAAAGGTTGATTGATTTAACTTTATCGCTAATATCGGTCGATACCGATATCATACCGATAATATCGTGCATCCCTAATTTGAAGGCATTTAGCACTTTTACACAAGGTGACAAATTTTTGTCAACATATAAAGGTTAAAATGCAAGTCTAAAATATTAAATATTAACTAATGCAAACCAGATTGATTTTGAATCTAGGTTTAATGTAAAAATTATCAAAAAGCAAAATAATGAAACTTCAGAAAAAGGATGATGCTCGTAGAAAAAAATGGGAAATAATTAGACTATAGGGACACTAAGATGTGTTCTGTAATCAACACATCAGGTGTATTCAGTCTGTAAGCACTCAGTCTGCCTATTTAAAGGGTGACAGGTAGTCACAGGGCTGTTTTGTATCATGGTGTGTAGCACACTGAACAGAAACTGATGACAGTCTCAGGAGCTCAAAAAGACAATTATTGACATTGTGTTGGAGGTAAAGACTACCAGACCATGTCCAAGCAGTGTGATGTTCATCTGACTGGAAACAACCTCCCTGGACATGTCCACAAGAGACGAGAAAATGAAGAGACAAATGTGTCCTCCTAGACAACAAATACCTAAATCCTACAGCTAAATGTTTCAGAACTGAACATCGGACTGTTCTGAAGCTTCTTCTGAGCCCTGATCTTAATCCTGCTGAACAGCTGTGGAAGGAGCTGAAACATCTGGAGAAGAGCCCCTTCAAAGCTGAGACATCTGCAGCAGTCTGATCACGAGGAGTGGACTTAAACACCTGAGAACAGAACTCACTAGACTACCTCAAAAGGTTTGGCAACAAAATAATTCAACAAGGATTCCATCGTTTTTGTTGAAGACTGATTTTCATTAGTTGATTTATATATATATATATATATGTATATATATATATATATATATATATATATATATAACTTTTTTCAAGTCATTTCAATGGAACTTTATGGATTTAATGACAGAGTTTAAACTACAGTAATTTGTCTGTCTGTACAGTTTTGTACAACAGATTGAGTCTTTTCATTTGTCTGCATTTGTTTTTACTAAAACGTTAATTGAGAAAATTATCAGTAATGTTTTTATACTGAAACAAGATAAATTGTATTTTCTTCATATGACTGGCCTAAAACAAAAAAAAAGAAAAAGAGTGAAGTTTGTCTTGGATTAAAGCTGTGTATGTTTGTAAAATAAAAATAAAAAGCATTCAGACAACACAAAGCTGTAAAAGTAAATGAAGATTTCTCCGTCTGTGTCCCACCTGATTGAAGTACCGGTGCAGGAGACAGCTGGCCAGATAAGAAGCTCCTTTCACCAGCTTAAAAAAACGAACAAAGTTGTTGCTGTTGACGGCAGCGCAGGCTTGAACCGCGAACTTCACCTCGGGCGACTTGCGCACCTCCTCACGAAACTGCTGCACCTCTCTGTGTGGAGGGAAGTGAGCTGCTTAGACCAGACTGAGGCAAAGCATGAAAGAAACACAACAATGACCAGAAGCCTCAGTTCTTTAGATTCTACTTTCAAGCAGCCACACTTTTAAGGAACTCTTCATCAATAGAACTCCAGACTTTCAGAAGCTCTTGCTTCTTTTTGGACAGAATTTAATTTTATACACATTTTCAGTTTAGTTCTTTAGAAAGTCTGGCTCCTTTGAAGAAAAACTGAGGCCTGAATACATTTTTACCAGCTGAAAGAACTAAACCAAAGCTCCAGTTCCAAAACATATTTTACCGTATTTTTCGGACTATAAGACGCACTTAAAATCCTTTAATTTTCTTAAAAATCAACAATGAGCCTTATAATCAGGTGCACCTTATGTATTAATTCTGGTTGTGCTCACTGACCTCGAACCAATTTTACTTGGTATATGGCGTTCAAAAAGCTGTCAAAATGTTTTAGTTTGGCTTCAAACGCTTTATAATCCGGTGCGCCTTATAGAACGATAAATACGGTACTCAAATGGAATCATACGGTGGTGTGTAGATCAAAGGAATTATTTCGCCCAGACTGACCGCAGGATGTCCCCGTCGTTGATCTTCAGCAGCACGCTGTACTGGCGGAACTCGGCCTCTTGGGGGCAGAAGACCTGCTGCGTCGCCAGGTCCTCGTACATCTCTTTGAGGCTCTGCAGGCACTTCGTCATGTTCTCGTTGTTGATTTTAGCATCGAAAGACGACATGGGCTGCTCGCAGAGGTGGTGGGCACAGTGCATGTGGAAGCGTGTGCACTTTTCGATCAGGGATACTGTGTCAGGGCAGCACAGATGCTGCTGGATGATGTCCTGAGGGACCAATGGAAACAAACAGGCTGAAACCGATGAAGCCCTTTTTGAAATACTTTTTTTTTTTAAATGTGGTGAAAAGAGAAACAGAAGTTTTGTTTTTAGTCTAACCTTGCGAATACCTCTGGTTCTGTCCCACACAAAGTCATACCAGTCCCGGTAGTTGTCTTGAACCTGATCCAGGATCTGAGTCACCAGGTAGTCCATGGTCATGCTGAGCACAGACAGGGGCCTCAGCTCGTGGGGGAGGGGCTCCTCTTGGTCGGCAGAGGAGCGGCTGTACTCCTTTATAGCAGCAGAATGATCCACCTGGTAAATAAACAACGATCAAATCATAGGACCGGGCGATATGGACTAAAATTAATATCTCAATATTTTTAAGATAAATGGCGATATATGATATATATCTCAATATTTTTTTTCTTTCCATAAAGTAATAAAAATATATTTCTGAGTCGAAGCTTTATCCCAATTGTCAAACAGGCACATTTATTAAAAGACAGCTGTAACTGTACAAAAGAAAAGTCTCAAAAATGAAAGTTTTTTTTTTCCTGCAAACCACAGCTGTGCACTTCAAATTTAAACAGAAAACATACAGAGCAAACATCATGAAAGGCTGACTTGCTCTTTAAAAATCTGATGCTCATGAAGTACATAATGCAGCTGTTGGAAAACCCACATTGTTGTGTAGTTGGCTAGTTTACTGAGCTGGGTTCTGTTTGGTTACGGCTTGTTTCTTTCTGAATGTCATTGTTTCGGTGCTCTTGAATGCACCTTAGCTGTTCCGACGCTAGTGAACGCACCACTTCGGAACGCATTGGGAGTTTATTCTCTCCCGACACGGACCTTGCGTTTACATCTATCTATGTCACCAGAGTGGCTCCGCTGTGGGTCAAACTAACAAAGACCCTAACGAACCCCTATTGTGACAACTGATATGGAAATCTGAATATGTATCTAGCTTAGCTCAGCTTTATAACTCGAATAAAGTCTTCACAGTCGGAGCTGCAGCACAGTGTCACACAAGCAGGAGGCGGGGGGGGGGGGGGGGGGGGGGGGGTTGGGTTTGTATTCAGTGAGAGAGAGAGGAGGGGTCGCGTGAAGTTCACTACGCAGAGTATGAAACTATCGTTTTATATCGACATAGTCTCATTTTATATAGTGTATGAAAGTATCTCGATATGATTAAAATATTGAGACATCGCCCAGCCATAAGGAGCAGGTCCTAAGGTGCAGCTTAGACTTTAATGATGTCCAGGCTCCTCTATCAGGTTTGTTGTTGGGAAAAACAAAAATCATACCATCTCTGTGTTTGGGATAAGCTCGAACACGCTGAGCTGGTTTCGCGTTTCCCTCATGTATCTTTCCTTCTCTGGACACATATCAGGGCATGTCCCCACAAAAACTTTAGACAAGTCCAAGGCTGTCCGCTTGGGCCGATCTGCGAGGACGTAAAGACACGACACTGGGTTTTTGTCCAGTTTTCAGATCCTGCAGCAGTTTAGACGAGAGCCGGCCTCACCTTGACGCAGGATCTTGTCCGTTTGTTCTAGCAGGCGGTACTTGTCCTCAGCGGTCTCGGCTACCTGACCAATGAGGTGAACAAGGGAGGAAGGGACAGGACGCTCTGAGCCCTGGGACTCTGTGATGTTCTCTTTCTGAGGATCAGGGTCAAACTGCAGCAGCTTGACAGGGGAAGGCTTCTTCACTGGAGAGCTGAAATGATTGGAGAGCAGCAGTGATGCAACTATTTTAAAAATGACAAAAGCACCTTTAACTCGCATTTTATGCTGAATTACCTGTGACTGAATGTGGAAGGCATGAGTGCAGGCCTTTTGAGAGGAGAAGAAAAATCCACTTTAGATTCTCTGACTTCTGGACTTTCTCCTTCAGTTTCATTCTTTTCTCCTGCAGGTCTGCCGCCCTTTTCTCCTGGACCTAATCCAGAAAAAGTCAGAGCCCATAAGGAGACTTACCATTACAAAAATACAGTCTGAACTAAACACTACCTCAGATGAATATTGATTTTAACATTTAACAATTACTTTGCTTCTTTTTCTGCCACAGCAGCAGCAGCTCGTGTCTGTGCAGCATTTTTCCTTTCTTCTTTGCTTTTGCAGCTGCAGCCTGAAAGACATGAAATTCAACAAAAGGCAAAATTTCAGAACAACTTCCCTATAGAGAAGCCTGGTTATCTCAAGTAGAACATGCAAAGCAGCAATGCACAGTTTGGTAAATTAAAAATAGAGACCCTTTGGTGTTCAGATCTGACAAACTGCCAAAAAAAATCATAACAAGGACACAAATGTAGAACTTTTTTTTTTTTTTTTTTAACAGATAATGGGAGCAATGATAAACATAAAGGTCAGTTTGTTAAACACAAAATGATGACAAAAAGAAATATTTTAAATAGTTAACTTACGTGATCACCAAAATGCACTACTGCAAAATTCTTTGCAGTCCGACAGAAAACCTTAAAGACTTTCCCAAACCGAGAAAAATGCTTCATGAGCACGTCCTTTCTGTTGAGGGCCGGAGGCACGTTTCTGCACATGATGGTGGTGAGGTCGGTCGGAGACGAGCCGCTCAGGCTATCCACGCTGTCCCTGTGTCCACGTCGACTCACAGGGGTCACCACAGGGGTCAACACTTGGGATTTTGGACTCTGAGTTACACCCGAGTCTGAAGGAGAATTATGAATCTAAATGACGCAACACCTTTTTTTTGTTTTCCACAGCTATAGAACAGAAAAACGTGGGTCCATGTCCCTTTGAAGTTGCTGATAAAATAGTAAGCTTTCTAGTTGTTGATACCTACGTGTTCCAGAATTAATACATTAGTCATTTTAATAGTGTTTGAGGTTGAATGTGAAATTTCCTCAATGATGTCTTGTTATATTTATTACTGATTCAGTCAGTGATCTGAAAATCTCTCAAACTAATACATAAAGGGTACTTTTGACCAATCATCCATGAATAAATGGTATCTAGCCTTGAAAAGCTCATGTTTCTTTCATGGTAATACGAGTTCAAGGTCTCACCTGAAGCTTCAGATTGTTCCAGAACTTCCCTGGTGAGTGTCTGTGCAGCAGGTGGTGAGACAGGCGGCTCACCCTCATTAACTTTCTCCTTCTCCTCCAGGTTTGGCTCTGGCTTCTGAGTATCTCGTCTTACTGTGTTGGCTCGCTCCTTACAAATACCACTGAGTGCCCTGCTGAAGAGGTTTCCTGGAAGGCCACGGGACCTGATCAGTGGCCTCTTCGAGAGATGCCTTGATGAGTCTGCTTCAGATGGAGACTCTTCCTCTGCTGTTGGGATCTCTAAACCTGAGCTCGAGGTTGTTGGATTTTCCTTGCGCTTGGCAGGTTTGCCAAGTCGTGCAAATACATTTGTGTCCTCTTGGCTGCTTCCTTTGTTATCTGTGCCAGTTTCTGCTTTGCCTTTGTGCTCACCATAAGCTGGAGGTTGACCAAAACTTGTTCCCCCTAAAAGAAGTGTTGGCTCAGTCTGGAGGGTTTCAGCTGTAAAACTGAAGGACGATGGGGTGGTGGGCTCGGTGACGGTAGCTGAAGTGTTTGAGCTGGAAGGTGCAGCTGGCTGGGAAATGGTGAACTGAAGAGTGTTGGTTGCTGCACTACTGCTGCTGGTAGTTGTTGGGTGATTATTTTGAGCAGAAACAGAAGTGGTTGCAAACGGCTGTAAGAAGCCCAGCGACCCAGACTTGGCTCCAGGCAACAGAGGGAAGCCAGTGGTGCTGGAGCTGGCCTGGGACCCACTGCCTCCAAAAGACGAGCTTGACATTGTTGTAATCTGGGGCTGAGCTGGCTCTGGGCTGGCACTGAAGATGGGTTTGAATAGAGCCTTGTTGGATGGCTTGAAACAGAACTCGGAGGTTGTTCTGTTTTGGGTCGTCACGTTCTGAGTGCCACTAAATGCGCTGCTGGAAGACGGCTGTCCAAACCCAGAGGTGGAGCTGGTGGCCATCTGTGAGCCTCCAAGGGGAGGTGGTTGTTTCCCAAACCCTGGAGCCTGTCTGAACGCAGAAGGTTGTCCAAATACAGATGTCTGCCCAAAAGCTGAAGTTGGGTTCTGCCCGCCGGTCACCCCAAACAGTGATGTCTGGTTTTGCCCACTGGTCTGTCCAAATAGCGCCGTCTGGTTTTGTCCAAAAACTGAGGGCTGGTTCTGTCCATTCGTCTGTCCAAAGGCTGAAGTTTGATTCTGTCCACTAGTCTGTCCAAAGGCTGAAGTCTGATTCTGTCC